GTACATGTAATCCCCCAGAGGGTGGTTGGGCACTGCCCAGGCTCCCCAGGGCAGTGGGCACTGCCCCAAGGCTGCCAGAGCTCCAGGAGTGCTGGAGCACTCAGGGACAGGGTGGGATTCCTGGGGTGTCTGTGCAGGACCAGGAGTTGGACTGGATGGTCCTTGTGGGTCTCTTCCAGCTCAGGATAGTCTGTGATTCCGTGGTAATCATTGCACTTACTCATTTAGCTGCTGTCCTTGGCTCTGCTTGAACACTTGTGTGTCACTAGAATTCCAGGCCAGCATTCACACTCCTGCCTTTTTTCTTTCCTGTGAAGAGAATCCAGATGACTCGAAGGCAGTCGGTGGGGCGAGGGCTGCAGCTGACCCCTGGGATAGGTGGCATGGTAAGTGTATCAAAGTCTACTGCTAAAAACCTGCTTTGAGGAGCATTCCTAACTCTTGGGGGTTGTTTTGGTTTTTGTGGAAGTGCAGCTGCTGACTAAGGTATCTTTTCTGAGATCAAAGGCATCATTTTTGTTTGTGCTTGACTTGCATATACCTGTCCCTGGATTTCTGCTTGGACCTGGCCTCAGAAGCAACTGCCCTTTGCCTGGACAGTGACTGAGCACTTGGGAGGGACTTTTGGGAGTACCTGGGAGAGAAAGGTTCAGAAGATTCAGGAGGGAAATGTGGGGAATGCCTGGTGAGGGAAGAGGGAGCTGAGGTTGCTGGCTTTGTGGGCAGTGCAGGAGCAAAGGACACAAGAGAACAGGGAATTTACTCACACAGGGGAAGATCCTCTGTGCCAGGTACCTTACAGCAAGCTGTGTTTAGACAAACAATTCCTGTCTGTTTAGGAATGAGTCACCCTAAGATTCCTTTGCAGTGGCACTTCAATGGTAGGATGATCTCATGGAATAGATGTCTAAAAAATCTTTGGAAAGATGGGTGCCTTGCAAGCTTATGGGGCTTATTTTGGTTTGGTTTGGGTATTTTTTATCAACTGTAAGGACCATCTTTATAACTAGCTCAGATTTAGATGTCTGAAATTAGACAAGAATTTTGTTAGGGCTGAATCTGTCTTGTTTTGTTGGACTGTGTGGAAGAATCAACCTTTAACTCAGCTGGTAGAAATTGGAAATACATTGTAGGCTCTCATATCAGTCTCTTTTCTTCCAGCAGCAGCACTTCTTTGATGATGAGGACAGAACAGTTCCAAGCACACCAACTCTTGTAGTTCCACATCGTACTGATGGATTTGCAGAAGCCATTCAGTAAGTAGATTAAATTAAAAAAAAGGCTTTTCCTTATTCTGTTTTTCAGTGGAATGAAAATAAATTCAAATTAAATGAACTTGTGATTGGCTAAAAAATGCCAAGTAGTATGATAGAAAATCATTGTTTGAACTGTATGTCATATAACTGATCATCAAATTAGGAGGTGGATAATCTCCAGTGTATTAACTGTATTAAGTCAGTAACTTACTGACTAAAGAGGAGATTAGACAAACAGAAGAAAGTCCCATCTAATTTCCTTCCTCAGTCTTCCCCCCCTACCATTAATATTACCAATAAAAGTAGGAAAAGTTACTCCCATTTTTTATTTTGGGATGTTCTGGACACATTCAGGAATCCAGTTAAAATTGTGAGAATTCAGAGGATGGATATGTAAAGAGTATTCTCTTCAGGACTGTTCTACTGATTTTGAATACATTCCAAATCATTTAAGAAGCTGATTGTTATTCATTTAGCAGTAGTTTAGCTGATTTTTACAGTCAGGAGGAATTCATTTTGTCTCATGTATAATTTGCTCTCTTGGTTTGGTTGGAAAGTTGTCTTCCCCCCCACCCTGCCCTGATCATTGGGGAAGTTGCAGAATTCCTTAAATCTTTATTTTGACAGTTCCCCCCAGGTGGCTGGAGTTCCTCGGTTCAGATTTGGACCCCCTGAAGATATGCCACAAACTAGCTCCAGTCACTCTGACCTGGGTCAGCTTGCATCCCAAGGAGGTAAACCAGCTCTGTGCTCCCTTTGCCATGGGTCTTGGAGTGAAAAAGAAATAATTCAGTAAAAAAAACACCACAGTTCTACCTCGGGAAATTGTTAAAAGTGTGGAAACTTGCAACTCTTAAATAATTGTAAGCAGAGGGAGACTTAACAGAAAGTGAAAAGGAGTTTCCTTCAAGCTGCAAAATTTCTACTTGTATTGTGATTTTAAAATGAAATAAAATATTGAAGGAATGGGGTTTAACTTTAATTTTGGTTGTAGTTTTCCTCTCGTAAAAAAATAGGGGAAAACAGCAAAGCCAAAGAAATCTTTGGGATATATCCTCACCTGCTGAAAAGTGTCCAGGCAATGTGTCTCTACTGTCCTGATTCAGTCCCTTTCCCCTGTTCCCTGTTGACATGGAACATACACTGCTCCCTGAAGAAAGTCATGCAAAATAATGGCATAAGAAAAGAATGACAATAAAAAAACCAAGCAGTAATATTTTCATCAAGTTTTTACCTTTCAATGAAATATAATCAGCTCTGACATTAGGCCAATAAAATTATAAAACTCTCCGTATGTAAGGACAAATTGCTGGATTTCAGCAGGGGGAAGACATCAATTATATTCTGGGTTTTAGCTGGTTATTTTGATGATTGTCACTGACCCTTTGTGTTGCAGGCTTAGGAATGTATGAAACCCCACTGTTCCTTGCTCACGAGGAGGAATCTGGGGGTCGGAGCGTCCCCACAACCCCGTTACAAGTAGCGGCACCAGGTGAGTGGCAGGAGGTTTGCAGACCAAAGTGAAGGCTGCAAACCTCGACTGCTCAGCAAATAATGAAATTCCAGTAGTCCTTTCCCTGCCCTGCCTGTGGTTTCCATGGATTCTGTGCAGGGAATGGGGACTGACAGGCTGTTTGTTGCCCCGAGCAGTGACGGTGTTCACGGAGAGCGCCTCGGCCGACGCCTCGGAACACGCGTCCCAGTCCGTGCCCATGGTCACCACGTCCACTGGCAGCCTGTCCACCACCACAGAGCCTGGGGCTGGGGACGATGGGGATGAAGTGTTTGCAGAGGCAGAATCTGAAGGGTAAAATACAACTCATTTGCTTCACTAGCACATTTAATGATTTGTTTTCATCCCGGTGTGTCTGTGAGTCTTTGGCAGTTTAACCTGTTCTGGTAGGAAGGACAGCTCAAACAGGATTTAGTAAGCTCTGAGGCAGTAGAATCTGACCTTTTCATTCAGAAACAAAGGGTTTCTTCTGATTTTCCCCTGGTTTAACAAAGCTCATATAAAAGTCACAAAAATACAATTTTAAAAAATATATTTCTGTATTTTTTAGAGAATGCAGAGGGATCTGCAGTAGTCAAAACTGATGGTAAAGGGCCAAGTTGAAGGATGGGGGTTTGCTGAATAAAGGCTAAAGCATTCCTGTTTAATATAGAAAATCACTCCTCATTCAAAGCACAGATATATAATGAAGTCAGTTAAGACAGTGCAGGTACAAAAGATGTAGCGTGGGGGGAATATGAATTTCGTAGACAAATGGTTTTGTCTTCCATTTTACGAGTGCAGTTTTTAATATTTCTAGTAATTGCTGTATTTTGTATTATGATCAAATGCATTACAGATCTAAAAGGGGATAGTTTATCATTTTATGCCATATTTTACTTCTGATTTTCATTGAATCTTTGTGTTCCAAGACAGTGCCTTTTTTTCCTGAACGTTTTGAAAGTATGTGAATACACTTCCATGGTTTTCCTCCCCCTCCTTCTCTCCTAGCATTACTTCAGAAGCAGGTCTAGAAATTGATAGCCAGCAAGAAGAAGAATCTGTTCAAGCATCTGATGAGTCAGATCTTCCTTCAACTAGTCAGGATCCTCCTTCGAGTTCATCTGCAGGTACAGAATAATTGTTGGGAAGAGCTGTTTCATTCCATTGCATTAAGTGTGGGAACCTCTATGTCCAGCAGCATGGCTGGTAGCCAAGATACACAAAGTAAGAGAAAACTCTTTGAATCACAGACTCATGGAGTGATTGGGTTTGGAAGGGATCTTAAAGCCCATCCAGTTCCCATGGGCAGGAACAACTTCCATAAGACCAGGTTGCTCCAAGGACAGTTCCAGGGATGGGGCAGCCACAGCTTCTCTGGGCAACCGGTGCCAGGGCCTCACTGCCCTCACAGCCAACAATTCCTTCCCAATATCCCATTTAACCCTGCCCTCTGGCACTGGGAAGCCATTCCCCCTTGTCCTGTCCCTCCAGACCCTTGTCCAGAGTCCCTCTCCAACTCTCTTGGAGCCCCTTTAGGCACTGGAAGGAGCTGTAAGGTCTCCCTGAATTCTCTTAGAGCAGGATCATGTTTTGCTGCCTGTAAATTCTGTGCTTTGGCAAACCAGTTTTCCCTGGCCCGCAGTAACTGGAGTAGGCCAAGTAAGAATAATGCTTCAGGGAGCAGAAGGTACTGATACTTTGCTGATTTATCCACTGGTATGTTTGATGTCAGCTTTAAAGCTATTTTTCCTTCAATCAAAAAAGTAAAGTAAATCAGTGAGTTACCCATCTACCCCCTTGCACAAGTAACAAAAGAAGTGCCAAACTTATTTGTCTTCAGGCTTTTATTTATATCGGAGGACATGTCAATGAAATAAGGAGGCGCCTTCATAATTCTAGAGTAAATTAGAGAGCATAACTCCTATCAAATCACATAAACATTGAGAACCTACCAGGCACAGACTTCCTCTCTGCATTCCCCCCTCTCCACAGACACGAGCAGCAACCAGCCCAAGTCCCTGCGCCGCGTGCGGCTGCAGCCCCCGACGCTGCGCACGGGGGTGCGCGGGCGCCAGTTCAACAGGCAGAGGGGTAAGTGCCTCGGGGGGCTCCAGGCCATGGCTCTGGGGGGCTTCCTTCCTGGGGGGACACTCTGGGAAGTACTTTATAGGCTGTGTTTGTTCTAGACATCGAGTGATGCCCTGCCCTAGGTTCTGGTATGTGACCCTAAAAGCTCTAGTTTTGTTTAAATGTGTCTGAGCAGTTTGTAGACAGGCGAACTTTCTTCTTCTCTGGCACTTGGTTCTTATCAGTGGAGAGAAAGTAAAGGGCAATACATCTTACACTTGCAAATTTTTTAGACAGAAGTCTAGAAATCTTTGGTTTTAGTTACAGAGCAGTTCCCATTTGGCACTTTAAGAGTTCCAGTTATGACATCACTCTGTCCTGTACTGATTTAAAAAAAAGTTTCTGGAAGTATTAAAGATTTTTTATAGTGCAAAATAAAGTTCAACCACAACAATAAGTTCTTGTTTGCAACTTCTGTATTAAGAAAATCCTTAGATGAATTGTATTCCATTTGTCATTATTTTAACATTGTAGAAGACTCAATTTAACACTGAAATATAGTTTAGCTGGTATTTTAAAGGGAAAAAAAAGTGAGGAGGTGGGCCTAGGATAGATTTTCTTTCATCTGTCACCATAATTTTAATAACAACAACAACAACAGCTGATTTCAGGTGTGGTAAGAATTCTCTGCTGGTTCTTTCAGCACCCAGCACAGGATAGTCAGCCCCTTCCTTTTACATGACAGAGGTGACCTGTGTGTCACCAGGCTCAGGGGAGAGAGGGGAACTTGACCTCAGTCAGAAAGGATCTGCTCCTCTGCAGTGGCCGTTCCTTAGGGAAGGATGAATTGTCACAATGGCTGATTAACTCTAAATCCTTTCATTCCTTTAATGCCTTTGTTTTCTTTCCCAACACAGGTGTAACTCATGCCATGGGAGGCAGAGGAGGCCTGAACAGAGGAAACATTAGTTGAACGATCTGTAAAGTAATTCCAGCTGTGTATACAAAGTGCCAGTTTGCCTGTGGTTGCTTTAGTGTAATGAAGCCAGAGCTTAAAGCAGCATTTCATACTTAGAGTTGTGTGCACACATTTCATTGTCTTTTATTAATAAAATTAGAAAAAATGGTGACGTTCAAATGGCATCTCTTTTTTAAAATCCTCTGCTGTGCATCACTTGCTGGGACAGTTGTACCAGTCTTTGGACACAGTCTTTCCTGTGAGAGCAGTAACAGGTCTTGCTATTCTTTTGCCAATATCCAAACTGTAGTACCGATCTGGAAGGAAGAGAGGTCAGGATTAAATTCCAGAAACTACATTTAATACATGGAAAGGATCCAGAAATTAAAACCTGCATTTTAATGGCATTTAGGCCTGAATAACAGATTTTTCATTCCACGTGCATGTGTGGAGTTGGGAGGCTCTAACAATAAACTTCTGCTCTCGCCTTTATTTTTTACAAGACCTGGGTTGTATTAAGTTTTATAGTACTGCTAATAATTAAATCTGTCCCAAGAACAGGAGTAGGGAAGAATACTTTTGTACTGGTTGAACACAGAAATAGTCTTGAGAATTTGGAAATCAAACAAGCTAAAAACAAAACAATCCTGCACTGACTACAAAAGTGGGAACTCTGTGGTCCCCAAGTGTGAATGAGTGTTAAGGAATTGAATCATCCTGACAGGGACTTTAGCATCCTGTATTTGGATAGTTGTTAGAGCTTTTTTCCTGAATAATCCACTCTGAGGAGTGCTTGTACATGATCCTGGCTAGAAAGAAAGAATTACCTAATCTGGGATCATAAATAATGCTTTCCTGGGAAGCAAAGTTATTCATGTCCTTCCCTTTTGTCAGAAACACAGAAGCCAGTGAAAAAAGTATTGCTGTGGGGTGATCCAAGGATTTCAGTCTATCATTTATATAATTCTGCATTTAAATATTGAGGGTTTTGTCATTTTACAAGCCTGGACTCCATGGCAATACATTCCTCATCAGGCTGGTTTGAACCACTGTATTTTATTGCTGCTCGCTGTCCTGTAACTATTGATTCTTATTAGAAGCATCTCTTGATTACAGGCAACATTTGAATTCTCAGGACATTTTAGTATTTTTTAAAATCAGTCCTGTAGATCCACAAGTGATAACATGGGCTTCTTCCTCATCTCTGTGTCTTTTGAGATCTATAGCAATGTGCTTTAGCTTTAACTTACTGTAAGAGAAGGCATAGTAATCGTAGCCATCGGGCTTGTTCTGGTTGGGTATGGAAAGAGTTGAGTGGACAACTTTGGGGAGGCCTCTCCAGTAGGTTTGCATTCGGATTTCCTTGCGCAGAACTCCTGCAAGCAAAAGAAACCCTCAGTGAGGAGGTGTCACAGTGTCTGCTGTGGCTGCCACGTGCTTGTCAGCCGCAGCGAGAGCCGCTGTGTTAAAAACATCCAAAAGTACTGCATTTTAAAAAGGTGAAACAGAATGCTGTTTCAGAACCTACTAAGGTTACAGCAGTTGTCTAAAAGACCCTTAACAAACATGAGTTACCAGTGGGGTGCGGGTTGACTCTGACAGTCCGGATGATGGTCGGCATTCGCATGGCACGTTGGAAGCGCCTCCGGATGACAACTCTTGGCACAAAAGCTGGGTATCTGATGGTAATCCGTGCTCTTCTCTGACACTTCTTGGCTGGTTCTTGTCTGTACACATACTGCTGCATGTTCCCATCTAAAGGAGGCATTTGTTTCATTAGTTTAAAAACAAAACCCCAGGAAACACCCAACAGTCACTGATCAGATATGAAGGTGTCATTGGTATCCATATTGCACACACAAAATCAATAACAAATAATGTTATGTTGGTAGTACAGCATTCATGTATGTGAAGGAAATTACATTAATTTAAAATACAAAATAAGAAATAGGGACATTTCCATACACAGTTATGAACTAGTAAGATTAAAGCCTCCTCTCCTCTAATTAATTTGGGACTAAAAGAGTTTTACCACCAGGTAAAACTTATTTTAATGTTTGGCCACTGCAGTGCTGGATTCTCTCCTGTACAGACCTGTTTTAAAATGCACTGAAAGACCTGTAAGTACTAAGAAATGTTTTTACATCTTTAGGCTATTTTTGACCACCTGGAACACTGACATCAGTTATGTTTTTGTTTTTGAAAGAAATTGGTCTTTGGGTCAAGAGAAATGGTGTTTTATTCCTGACTAAGGTAATTCAGGCACCTTTTGATGATCCCTGGACTTCAGAAATAGGAGACATACCTCTCTTGATAAAATAAACAGATTCTGGTCTGTTGTTGAATCTTGCCACAGGTAAGGTTGCTACTATTCTCCCACTTAGCCCTGCAAATCCATTGGCAAGAGGTTTGGGATAGCCTGGATCCATAACTCCATTAGTGAAACGCCAGTACAGGGGGCCCTGAGGATTCAAGGGGAAAATGAGCTTTAGAGGAAATTATTCTTAGTTATTGAACTTCAACACAAACCTGAAGAGTAATCCATAAATAAACAGTAGGACTTTGATAGGTACATTATAAATCTGACTGGAATCACTCCTGCATCCATTACAAACAGGAAAAAACTACTGCTACTTCATAAAATACCTTCTGCAGTCTTTTAACATTTGAGTCAGGCTAGAGTATGTTAGAAACTAATTTTTAAGAGAGGTTACTGAACAAAGGGATTTGTTTTCTAAATCTCCTGATTTTCATGAATATAACAAGCTGCTTGAATTCCAGGCATGAATGATTCCTTGGGAAATGACTCTATAACATCTTTAAAGAGGTGTGGGCATTTCATTATTTTCTCTCAGGAAGGGAAACATACTAGGAACAAATCTGGGTCCAAGTTTTCCCAATATCCAACCTGACCCTCCCCGGGCACAGCTGGAGGCCGTTCCCTCTCCTCCTGTCCCTTGTTCCCTGGGAGCAGAGCCCGACCCCCCCCGGCTCCCCCCTCCTGTCAGGGGTTGCAGAGCCAGAAGGTCCCCCCTGAGCCTCCTTGCTCAGCCTGAGCCCGCAGCTGCCTCCTATCAGTTCCCGCCCCGGGGCCGGGCCGCGCCCACCTTGATGAAGAAGTTTTCCATCGCAGTTGCACCTGGAAGACGGAGTCGATCGGGAGGGATTCCCCAGCCGTCGGTTGATGCGCGGGGTTGTGCTCGCGGCTTGCGGCGTTCAGCAGCCAGTAGTAGTACCTGGGGGGCAGAGGGCTCAGGGCGGCGGGAGGCGGCGGGTCCTGCCCCGGGGACATCGCCCTCCTACGCCTGGGACAGCGCGGGACATCGCCCCTCCTGCCCTGGGTGACAGCGCGGGGACATCGCCCTCCTGCCCTGGGGACAGCGGACTGAGCGGCTCCGGGCCCGTGAGGGCTCGACGCGGCCGGGACAGGTGAGGAAGAGGAGGAAAGGGGAAGCAGAGCAGGACAGGTGGAGGGAGAGGAGGAAGGGGGCCGGGGCAGGTGAGGGAAGAGGAGGAGAAGGGGGGCAGGGGCAGGTAAGGGAGGAGAAACAAGAGGGACGGGGCAGGAGCAGGGGCAGGTGAGGGAAGAGGATGAGTGACGGGGACGCGGCAGGTGACGGAGGAAGAGGAAGAAGAGGATGGGGCAGGAGCAGGTGAGGGAGAAGGAGGAAGGGGGACGGGCCAGGGGAGGGAAGAGGAGGAGAAGGAGGGCCAGGGCAGGTGAGGGAGGAGCAGAAGGAAGAAGAAGAGGGACTGGCACGGACAGGTTGAGGGTGGGGAGGAGGAAGGGGGCCGTGCCAGGACAGGTGAAGGAGGAGAAGCAGGAGGACGAGAGATGGGGACGGTGAGGGAAGAGGAGGTGCGGGGCAGGCTCACCTCGGAAGACGGCCAGGGTGCCGTTGGGCAGGGCCACCATGCCGTCCGCCGGCCTCCCGCTGCACAGGTCCTTCTCGTCGTCCTTCCTCTCTGCAGGACACAGGCAGGTGGTCTCGTTCAATGTTCAACAAGGACTGCATTAATTTCCCCCCTTACCCCCACCGGGAGCCAGGGTTTAATCGCTGCTTGGAGGTGTGTTCTGGGAAAGTTTGGCTCTCGTGTTGCGGCCCCAGCGGTGCCCAGTGACCACCTGTGGTGTCTTTGCTTATTTGTCACCTATGTACCCGTAATTCAGAAAAACACCCACAAACGGCCCTCATGTAATTTCTCCGTGCTCCAGGATTTTATTTGATGTTTCCCCAAGCTGCTCTAGTGAGCTCTCTTCCCTCTCCTTATTTCTTTAAAAAAGCATTTACACTTACTTTCAGTTAAACATAAAGGAAGGATGAGCTCTTTTGGACAGAAATCCAAGTATTTTCCCATATAAAACACTTTTTCCCCCCCTCCAAAATATCTTTCAATATATGACTGAAAAAAATGCCCAAGAACCTGCAGGCTATATCTGATTAAAATAAATAATGAGGGCATGAAAAATGTTGTGGTAAAAAGCACAGAGGAAAGAGAATACAAGGGGGAAAAATCTTGTCTAGCTTATGTCTTATATGTTTTGGATGCAGCTCCAAAATGCCAGGTTAGGTTCCATTAGTGGTAGATATTCAGCTGGACTCCCTAGTAAGAAATTTATCATCTTTTTTCCTTGACTTTTTCTCCTGTTTGCATCTTCGATTGTACTTACAGCAAACATTTTTCAGCAGGGCCAATTACTGAAACCAATTAATTCAGATCATGTTCTAAACTACCCAGAGAATTGATTTAACTGAGGTTCCCATATTCAGGACAGTGGCAGCTGTAGTGCCATGCTTGTGGCTGGGCACCGGGACAGTGCCATGTCCTGGTGAGTTACTGGTGCTTTGTATCTGCTGGAATGCAATTACCTTGTGTTTCTCCAGGTAACATTGGCAGGTCCCCAATTGGCATTAAAGGCTTGTTTATCTCGGGTTCTTTCACAGGCAGAGTTTCAGGCTCAGTTGGATGAGGCTCCTCTCTGCTCTCAGTGACCTCCTGGAAATGTATTGTTGGCTTGGATGTCCCGTTAGAAACAAGATACATTTCTTCTATCGTGTCTTTTTTATCCCTGGTAGTGGTTTCTTTGGCAACTGTAGTTACCTCTGCTTTGTCAGTACCAGGGGCCTTTTCAGTGACCTGTTCCAGTTCTCTGCCAGGTGTGGTGCTCACTTCTTTGGTGGTTGTTACCTCTTTTTTGCCAGCTGCTGTCATCACCACCACACAAGTAGCACCTGCGCTCTCTGGAGCTGCTGCAGCCTGCTCCACTTCTGTACTTGTCTCTTTTTCACTGGGTGTTACCACCTTGCTGGGTTCAGGAGTTGACTCTGCTTTGGTGGTTGCGGGCTTGGGCAAGGGAGCTGTGGCTGCTGTTGTTGCTTCTGATGCAGCTGCTGCAGTGACAGGTTGCTTGGCTGCATTTGGAATGTCATCCATACCTTTAGGAGAGTCACCTGGCTTAGCTGTTGTCACCACAGCTACAGTAGCCAAGTCTTTCCCAATTGTGGCTGTTAAAATGTCTTTGAGCAGAGTAGTTCTGTCTTTCTTGGGTGTTGTTACCTCCTTGATCTCCATTGTGGTATCTGAAAGCATTGTGTCTGCTCCAGGTGTGGCAGTGTCCTTCCCAGCTGTAGTGGCTGCAGCACTGCTGGGAGCTGCTGTGTCTTTGTCAGCAGTTGAGACTAATCCGGGGGCAGAGGTTGTCACTGCAGTGGGTGTTGTTGTCTGTACCACGGTGGTGTCAGCCTTGGGGGCTGCAGGGGTGGTCGGAGAGACTGTGTCCTCTGTTTTAGGGGTGGAGGGGCTGTCAGCCTTGGTTGTGGCTTCCTCTGGAGTTGTCTCCTCAGGCTTGGGAGTGGTGAGGGAGTCTACCTTGGCTGTTGTTTTCTCTGGGGTTGTGTCTTCAGGTTTGGGGGTGGTGGGAGAGTCTGCCTTGGTTGTGGCTTCCTCTGGAGTTGTCTCTTCAGGTTTAGGGGTGGTAGGGGAATCAGCCTTAGTTGTTGGCTCCTCTGGGGTTGTCTCTTCAGGTTTAGGGGTGGTGGGGGAGTCTGCCTTGGTTGTGGCTTCCTCTGGGGTTGTCTCTTCAGGTTTAGGGGTGGTGGGAGAGTCTGCCTTGGTTGTGGCTTCCTCTGGAGTTGTCTCTTCAGGTTTAGGGGTGGTAGGGGAATCAGCCTTAGTTGTTGGCTCCTCTGGGGTTGTCTCTTCAGGTTTAGGGGTGGTGGGAGAGTCTGCCTTGGTTGTGGCTTCCTCTGGAGTTGTCTCTTCAGGTTTAGGGGTGGTAGGGGAATCAGCCTTAGTTGTTGGCTCCTCTGGGGTTGTCTCTTCAGGTTTGGGGGTGGTGGGAGAGTCTGCCTTGGTTGTGGATTCCTCTGGAGTTGTCTCTTCAGGTTTAGGAGTGGTAGGGGAATCAGCCATAGTTGTTGGCTCCTCTGGGGTTGTCTCTTCAGGTTTAGGGGTGGGGGGGGAGTCTGCCTTGGTTGTGGATTCCTCTGGAGTTGTGTCTTCAGGTTTAGGAGTGGTAGGGGAATCAGCCTCAGTTGCCTCAGGGGTTGTGTCTTCAGGTTTTAAGGTGGTGGGAGATTCAGCCTCAGTTGTTGGCGCCTCAGTTGTTGGCGCCTCAGTTGTTGGTGCCTCGGTGACCTCAGGGGTTGTGTCTTCAGGTTTTGGGGTGGTGGGAGATTCAGCCTCGGTTGTTGGTGCCTCGGTGGCCTCAGGGGTTGTGTCTTCAGGTTTAGGGGTGGTGGGAGATTCAGCCTCAGTTGCCTCAGGGGTTGTGTCTTCAGGTTTTGGGGTGGTGGGAGATTCAGCCTCAGTTGGTGCCTCAGTTGCCTCAGGGGTTGTGTCTTCAGGTTTTGGGGTGGTGGGAGATTCAGCCTCAGTTGTTGGTGCCTCGGTGGCCTCAGGGGTTGTGTCTTCAGGTTTTGAGGTGGTGGGAGGTTCAGCCTCAGTTGTTGGCGCCTCAGTTGCCTCAGTTGTTGTCTCCTCAGGTTTTGGGGTGGTGGGAGATTCAGCCTCAGTTGTTGGTGCCTCAGTTGTTGGTGCCTCAGTTGCCTCAGGGGTTGTGTCTTCAGGTTTTGGGGTGGTGGGAGATTCAACCTCGGTTGTTGGTGCCTCGGTTGTTGGTGCCTCGGTTGTTGGTGCCTCAGTTGTTGGCGCCTCAGTTGTTGGCGCCTCAGTTGTTGGCGCCTCAGTTGTTGGCGCCTCAGTTGTTGGCGCCTCAGTTGTTGGCGCCTCAGTTGCCTCAGGGGTTGTGTCTTCAGGTTTTGGGGTGGTGGGAGATTCAGCCTCAGTTGTTGGTGCCTCAGTGGCCTCAGGGGTTGTCTCCTCAGGTTTAGAGGTTGTGGGAGATTCAGCCTCAGTTGTTGGTGCCTCAGTTGTTGGTGCCTCAGTTGTTGGTGCCTCAGTTGTTGGTGCCTCAGTTGTTGGTGCCTCTGTGGCCTCAGGGGTTGTCTCCTCAGGTTTAGAGGTTGTGGGAGATTCAGCCTCAGTTGTTGGTGCCTCAGTTGCCTCAGGGGTTGTGTCTTCAGGTTTTGGGGTGGTGGGAGATTCAGCCTCGGTTGTTGGTGCCTCAGTTGTTGGTGCCTCAGTTGCCTCAGGGGTTGTGTCTTCAGGTTTTGAGGTGGTGGGAGGTTCAGCCTCAGTTGTTGGTGCCTCGGTTGTTGGTGCCTCGGTTGTTGGTGCCTCAGTTGTTGGTGCCTCAGTTGCCTCAGGGGTTGTGTCTTCAGGTTTTGAGGTGGTGGGAGGTTCAGCCTCAGTTGTTGGCGCCTCAGTTGTTGGCGCCTCAGTTGTTGGCGCCTCAGTTGTTGGCGCCTCAGTTGTTGGCACCTCAGTTGCCTCAGGGGTTGTGTCTTCAGGTTTTGGGGTGGTGGGAGATTCAGCCTCAGTTGTTGGCACCTCAGTGGCCTCAGGGGTTGCATCTTCTGTTGGGGGGATGTTGGTAGAGTCCACTTCAGTCACTGGTTCCTCGGTGGCATCAGGGGTCATATCTTCTGGCTTCTCCGTGGTGGGAGGGTCTTCTTCAGTGACTGGTTCCTCAGTGGCCTCAGGGGTTGTGTCCTGTTCCTTTGGGGTGGTGGGCGGGTCTGTCTGGGTAGTCGGTGGCTCTGTGGCTGCAGGGGTTGTCTCTGCCGGTTCTGTAGTCGGAGCAGGAGTGGTCTCTGGGTTTTCCAGTCCAGTGCCAGGATCTATAAGGTAAATACAAATGAGTTTCAGCCATTGGCATTGCTGTGCATGTGGCTGTGGTGTATAAATGTATTGCACATCTGGGCAATAGGTAGTATTGTTGAATAATTGTGTTTTTTTAGAAGGGCAAAACTCCCCTGGGTAGGGTTCCACACGAGTCCCTGTGGTCCCTGGGGGACTGTGCAGCAGCCTGGCTCAGTTGAAGTCATCCCTTTGCTAAGCTGTCACTGCCCCAGGGGCAGTGCTGCAGGGTTTGGTTTGGTGCTTGTAGGTGAGGCTGCCTTGTGGTTCCTGCCTTTTCCATGCTGTGAAATACAGTTCTTCTAACAAGGCACTGCCCTTCTCAGTCTGTTATTTTGATTTATCCCACTGTCCTTCAGCATAACTTTACACCAATGAGCTGAACTTGGAGGAGAGAGGTTGGGAAACAGGAGGAAAATAATTCCTGAATACAGAGCCCTGACTATCTCCTACTGTGTCTTTATATCTTGGATGGTTTTCCTCTTTGTGATTTATGGCTTTATGATTTATTCTCTTTACTTGTATTTATAGTTACATTGACTTGGGTCAAATTATTTATGTTCAGCAAAAAGGAACAGTAAATGTTTCTGCATTTCAGTCTTCAAGTATTCTCTCTCTGAAATTTTGCTGTTTAGCTCTGTTTTCACACGGGTTTTGTGTTTGGTATGAGCAGAGCATTACAGAATAGGTTTTACTCCCACCCAGCAAGTCTGAAATACCATAAGCCAACTGGCATTCTGCTAATGGTTATTTGAATTTCCTTAATTTTCTTTCATTTAACCCAGTATATTGATCTTTTTTTTTTAATAGGAAATTGCAACAGCAGAAGCATAAGTACTCCAAATTTAAAACAATTAAAAAAAAACAAAGGGGAGGTGTGTTAAAATATTGGCCAGCCAGTACTGACTTCTGGTCTCATTTCATTCTTGTTACTTCAGGTTTCAAGTTCAAACTGATCTCCTGAGTTATCACTTCAAATGCTGAAACACAATACCAGAGAACACAGCAAAGCAACATATTTTCCAGTCAGAAAAAACAAATCAAGTGTTCTCTGAAGTTGCATAAGGCCTGGCTTGATTAAAGCTAGAGAAACCTGCTAGGACATTTTCCTGTCTTGGTCCTGACAGTTCATCACTGTCCCAAAATACAACACCCTTCCTGTTCCAGCCATGGACCTTGTCCAAAACTGACAATGGCCTGTTACACATTTTGGGAAGATGTGTGTGCAAATCCATCAGAGACACCGGAGACATCACCACACTCCACCATCTGTGCTGGGTGAACTCTCCCAAATCCCGAGGGCTCGCTGAGGTAATCAGTTTATAAACCGAGTGGTTCCAAGCTTGGTAACTGTCTGGTAATGTCTAGGATTGGCTTCCTCTTTCCAGAGCAGGAAAATGGTCTTTAATGTTCCCTCAGGTAACGCCCATCCTGTTTCATCCATACCCTTGCCTACCTTCCACAGCTTCCTCGGGCGGCTTTTCCTCCTCGGTGGATGACCTTTTAGATGTTGCTTTGTTCTCGGGGGGAGTCTCCGGGGCTGGCTTTTCTGTGTGTGCTGAAAGAGAGAAATACTCCCATTAACAGATTGTTTTTGCTTTGTGGGTACTTGGTGTCAACTGCCTGAGAAGAAAGTGATTACAAAACGGCAGTGACCATCTTCCATGTAAATCTAAGTTTCTTCCTATCTATAGGATTCTTTACACTGTTATTTATATGAAAAAGTGCAAAAATACCCTTTGGATCCCCAAATGTTTCATCACATATGGGAGTGTTGTTTTACCCAGAAATTTGAGGTGAGGCATTCTTGGCTAATGGCAATTTTGAGGTGGGAAAAAGGTGAATTCTGGAGTTCTACATTCTGAAAATTTGTCTTTTTTTTTTTTGACTACAGATGACTTGGGACTAAGTCACTATAGTGGAACTTGAAGAGTTGTCATTTACTTTGGTAATCCCCTAAAGATTCAGTTACATTGTAGTTCTCCAGATGTGATAATTCTACACAAATGATCTTTTTTGAGAGACCCCTCAATAGAAATAGTTCTCTTGAAGGAGACAGGCATGGACCAAAGAAAAAACACAAGGTATCAGTATTAAGCTAACTTCTAGTAGGCTGAGTTTTAGGAGACACAGGAAGTTGTGTTCAGATTTTCCAGCTCTGAAAAGTGTGTGGGGTTTCACTTGCAGCCAGTAAGAGCCAGACAACATTTTGTAATTAATTGTTGGGTCAAATTGTACAATTGGAAATGAGCTTGTAGAACTTGTTAGTTGTGAAGGAAGTGTGCTGGAGCTCAGGGAACTGGCTGAATTTTTTTATCCAGCTGAAGGAGTTGGTAACTGCCAGAGGTGTGTGTAATCAGCTTTTGACAAAATGAATGGGATTTTTTTTGTCTCAAAGTGATGACCATGGTGGCAAAGGATTTATTTTCACAGCAAACTCAAAACAAGGAAGGTTGGGTGTTGGACTATATCCTGAAGCTTTTATTGAGGGAGAAAAACTGTGGTTGTTGAATAAAATCATTTAGGGAGCTGAACTGCCTTTCAGAGCAGTCAGTAGTGGTGGAGGGGAATGTTTTGGTTAGTCCTTAGCTGTGCATGTGTGTATTCAGGGAATAAGGGGCTTCTGGAGGGTAGGGAAGGTAATGGTGATATCTAGATAGATGATGTACATTTGACTTTGCTGTACAGAACAAAATGTTGAGAGGATGCTAAAACAGCAAATCTATTCCAAGAGGTTTAGCAGGTTTCTCAGTTATTCACACATAATATAAATACTCAAATATTGAGTACAGTGGTAGGCTGGCTTTGAAGTATTTTTGTTGGGTTTTTTTCCTTTTTTTTTCAGAAATTAATACTAGAGCTTAATAAAATACAGAAGAAACTCTCTAAGTTTAGGAACAGTTGCTTAATTTTTCATTATATTTAACTGAAGAAAAGAGAAATGATTTAATAGTCTTTTGTGAGTGTTTGGGTTTGTTAAACTCGGCAGAAAGAGGGAGACATTAAACAACTTCAAAGGCAGGAAATTCACCTCAAGACACTTCCAAGACACCCATCCTCCTCTAGACATTCAGTCAAAAATGCTGAATACAGCCTCTATTTCAGTCTAAATTACTGTGTAACTGCATGGCAAAGCCAAGCCACTGTCCTGGGACTGGGAGGGGTGGGTGCAGTGCACCAAATGATAATCCCTAACTCCGGTTGTTTGTCACACCACAGGCTTTGGGGATTGGCTGCCATGGAGGTTGTCTGGTCTGTGAATGCAGTGACCCAGTGCCAGGCATATCTGCCAGGTGTGCTCACAGAAAGGAATCCAGGTCTGTAGGTAGACCTAAAGAAGTTTAAGGACATGATGAAATTAAACATATTCATGTCTTGGTGATGGCTTCCAGTGTATCTCCCTATATGTGTCCATAGTGCATCCATGCTTGAGAAACTGGCCAATTTACCTTCGAAATTAGATTCTAATATTTTTTCAGTATTTTTTTTTTGTTATCCTTAACTTCTCGCGTCTTAAGAAGCCCGCAGAGTTTGTTTTCTGAGAAAGCAAAGCACCTCTGTTTAAAGATCTCTCCGAAAAGCACAGTACTAAAGCAGTTTCTTACCCTCTTTGCAGTGCTTGGCGTAGTCTGGACAGCACTTGCCGTACCGTTCGCAGTCGGCATCACAGTCACACTGCCGTCCCCTCTCGAAGGCTTCGAAGCACCGTCCTTCACAGGAGAGTCCTGCACGAGGCACAGCAGCAGAGTCAGGGTGTTTGCCTACCTCATGCTGAGCGCTGGCACCTTCCTACAGCGAAGTCCTTTGCTCTGGATGGCGTAAAGAGGAGCCCCATGAAATCAGGTGCTTATTCTGGTCTGATCCAGGATCTGTCTGTGGAGCTGTGGGGTTTGGATCAGGCCGTGCAGCCAGAACTGCGCTGTCACGTTGCAGTGTATTGAAACCACTCAAATTTGTGGTGGAACAAAACGTGATGCCCATGTTCACTTTAGCCAGGTCCCACCATAGCGGCCTTCCATTCCCTCACCACAGAGCAGTGACCTCAAAATTAGATTTAAATTCTGGGTTAGGTTTGCAAAAAGGTGTTGGATCAAGAGTGATGTGTCTGTCAAAGCATTTCTGAAAAATAATTGGCCTAATCAGGTCACAGCCAAGTGTACCTGGTGTGTCTGGCCAAATACTGCAGTTTAATTGTGGGAATGAGTTAACTAAGGTACCCAGAGTGACTAGAACTGTTTAACACAGTTCTTAAATTATTAATGCTGAAGGAGTATCTACCATGTTCTGACATGATTAATACCCACGTGGGTTTAATATTTTATTATTTGTTAACTTCTGACAACTTCAGTCACTGCAGTGCTTCTATTTCGCATCAAATAATGACCAAATTGTTTTGGAAAGAGTGTGCACAGCTGTTACAGACTTCAGAAAAAGTACTTTCTGTACATAAATCCCTATCGAAGTCATTGTCTCTGTGACACCCTGGGCACAAAATCATGTTTTACAATTAAATCACCATCTAGCAGAAGAGGATTACTGTGTAGGCAGATTCTGAGCACCTTTTGATTACTGTAGATGTGGAGTCAGTCTGTTCATGCCAGTGGATTCATTCCACATGCACAGGTGAGAATTGTTTTTATTTTATGATGTTAGGGCAGTTTTTGTTCATAAATGATGTCTGGCATTTCTCTAATTTGGTCAGCATTGATGCCACACTAACTGGGCAGCAATCCATAGTCAAACTTCCTTCATCCTTTCAGGATGACACCTACTGTGCTTGCCTGAACTCACTGACTTAGGGTAGAACAGGGGAGACTTTTAGCCTTAAATATTTGATTAAATGTTATGTAGAATCCGACCCACAATAATAGGTTGCATAATAAAGTGCCTCAGTATGTACTTTCAGCTACAAGCAGTGCTGATGTTCCCTCACAAATCAAAATGAGGATGGGGAGGACTGAAGCACAAAGTGTTTCCAGTGTGTGTCAGGGCAGCAGAACTGGAATTTTAGGGAGTGCTGTGTCTGCATTTTGAACAAAACTCAACCTGTGTTGCTGGATCTGAGAAGTCTTATGTTACCCTGTAATCCTGCTGGAACTACAGGGTAATGTAACAAACTGCAGTTATCCAAATAACTGATATTTCTGACATTGGTGCTTCCCAAGAAAATGGTTTTTAACTCTCAATAAGCAATACCTGTCTTTATTTACACTGTACGGTTTTGTAAATATATAAAGCATAAAATAATACTCATCCAACCATTTTTTCCAGCAAGCTCTGGACAAGGTTCTGATCCAGAGTCAGCATCTGTCCATGGAAGGACACCCTCAGGCTTTGGGTTAGACCCTACAGCATCCATACTTCTTAAATTTGAGTAGGGATGTGCCAGAATTTCTCCCTGCAAAACCCTGAATTTGCTTTTACCACTTTTTTTTTGTTTATAAGACAGACAGATACAGTAGAAATGCACGAAGGAACAAAAAACAAGCAGTAAACTGTTTCACCCCCTCTTGCCTAACTCTGCTGTTGTAAAAAGCATAATCCTTTGCTTGGGAGTAACCTGTGGATACACAATTTTCTTTGGATTGCCAGAGGTTATCCCTGAGTTTTTGAGGAGGAGAACAACACATGTATGAGAGGGAACAAGGACACAGCGAACTAACACACATTGAAGCATTCAGAGAGGAGACCTGGTGCGGTGGGGAGCTGGGAGGGGGATTTTGTGGAGAGGAACTGGCTGTGTTTGGGAACTTACCCACTGTGCAGACTTTCCTGAAGTCAGGGCAGCACTCCATGTAGTGGTGACAGTTAAAATCACACTGGCAGTCATGCTCTCTAGAATACCCTGCCCCACATCTCCCTGTACAGCTCGACACATCTAAAATCACACAACACTGGTGTAAGCATTGCCAAACCACAGTGGGGCCTAAGGGAATGCTGGGCTGCAAAGGAGTAAAGCCTCTCTTTTTTCCCCTGCAGAATGTGCTTTCTTCCCTTGGTATTGCAGGAACTGAGGGCCTGGTGTGACCCCTCCTGAAGGTGTGTGGAGCAGAGGTTTGCTCTGAGCCAGCCTGTGGACCAGCAGGAGCATGTGTTCAGGTTAGAGGGGCGTTCCCCTGGGGCTGACTTACCCTGTTTCTCCTGAAAACTAATGAATCCTTGGGGATTGGTTCTGTAGCATGGCCACAGGCATCCAAACCAGCCCGTGCAGTTTTACCTTAGGCAGCACATCAACCAGGCACTTTGCTGCTTTGCTGACTTATTTTCCATCTTAATTCACCCTACCTATGGTTATAGGTGTGAGTGTGCAAAAGTTTCCCTGGCAGACCCATTAGGGGTCTGATTTTCACTTTTGGTAACGTTCTTCCTAATAACCAAACCTAGTCAGGTTAGCTTGCAAGCTGGAGAGCACTGTCATAATAAATACAAAGCCCCTTACACTCTGTTTTTTCCCTACTGTCAGAGAAGAATTTGGTATCAATACTGAGGTTAGGAACAGTTGGGATCTAGTCTTGCAGCCTTCTCCAAAGTGCTGTCTGTTTGTTAATTAAGAGATTACTTATTAGCAGACCAATATAAAAGCTCATTCCAGGATGGCTTTACTGCCAGACTGCTGCAGTGCTGGCAAATGCTAGATGATAATATATGGTGCAGATTACAGTTGGAAAAGCAAGACATCAGGAGGTCTGCTTTCAAACTGTGAGCATTCAAGGTTGGCAGTGCTTTGCTACCCTTCTACTGCCAGATATTCACCCTGCAACTAATCCCCTTCCTGTGCAAAATCTCTGCTAACGTGACATGCTAACAGCTTCTTCTGGAAACGAAACATGCAGGGCCACAAGTGAAGAGTCCCTAAATACAAACAAAGAAGCTGAACAATCAGCAAGCTCAAACATTGAGGAACCACGAGGAAATAACAACAAATAACATGTAGCACAACACCAAAGACAATTTCTAACAGCACACACTCCACAGCTGTGTGTATGAAGGAAGACCACGGGATAACAAATAATTACATATATTGTGATTTTCAACAAGTAGTTATAATGCTTGTTACCACTTCTTTGCAAACAGCAAAATGGGACTAGGGAGTAACTGGAGACATTAGTGGACTGGAGTTAATGGGCCCTTAATACAGGAGTTAAAAAAAGAAGATGGACACCTTCCTTTATGATATGTCCCTACAAATTGCACCCTTCTTCCCTTATGGAAAGAAAGAAAGTCCAAAATACTATACCTCTTCATTCACTTATTTAGTTTAGTTTATGACTTGTAAGGTACAGAGTTACTCCTAAGGAAAATGCCTGAATGGTTTAGTTTGCTGTTGGTGAGAGCTTTGATTTTTGCTGAAGGCAGAGGGAAGGCTCCCATCAATGAGCAAGGGTTCAGTGTGAGCCTGCTCTGCCCAGCAGGTCACATCTGGCATCTGCTCTGCCCTGGTGAGCTGCTCACATACACGATATTGTCCCTTCTGCTAGCAAGTAGTAATAAATTATTTTCAACCAGCAAGGAATACACAATATTATCCCCATAACAACTTGGTAGCTACCTGAGAACTGCAGAGGACTGGCCAGGCTGCAAGTTCTGCTTCTTCACAACAGTGCAACTTTAGTACGAAGCCAATTATAGAGCTTGGAGAGTAAATAAAAATCTGCATCATTAGACAAATGATTCCCAAAATTACCTCAGTGGTGGTGACAGTGCATTTAATAGCAAAGCACTTAGCAAGGTATAGACAGTCCTCTCCCCGAGCCTACTGAGATATTTCTGACCAACTTATGTGGATATTGTCATTTTAAATTTTCCTTGAATTACCCTGCAAATCACGGGGGCTAAAAATGTCCATCTGAGGGCAATGGGATCTGTAGAACATGTCTACAGAAAAACAAACTGGTTCATATGCAGTTTGCATTACATGTATGTTTTTATGTAATTCCTCCTAGAAGGAGGACCATGCTGCACTCAAATTTGTTTAGGAAAATATTCACTGATGATAAAACTGAATCATATTGCCTGGCTGAATAAATATAACATTCTAGAAATTAGTATTTTTACAAGGATTCTTTTGGAGCATTCTCAGTGTGTGTCAGATATCCTAGAAACCCTCCCTTCTACTTTGTGTGTTACAGTACCTTGAGAAGACACTTCTTGAATCAAGGACAGAGAAAGGAGCACCAGGGATATGCAAAGTATGTTCCATATGATCATTACTTTCAGGTACGACATCATTCCTGAAAAGAAATAATCTCATGTCACTATGTGCAATTCAATTAGTCCATACATAAAAAAATGCAGTGCCTATCTTGTTATATAATACTAGTTTGATAAAAACATAAAATAAGTAGTAAAACTGTTCAAGGCCACGTTGCTAATTTAGAATTACTCTATAAATTCTCTTGATTATTAGTTGATTAGCTGTTAAATTTTGTACTAAGACTATAAAAATTCATTATTAACAAGTAACAGAAGTAATTTTATGCAGAATTTTATGATGTGAAGGCTGCAGTCAGTCTTCTCCTTCTAACATGGGTATACTTCAGCTCAACAATTTGTGAAGTTATAATATTGATAAATATAAATCTAAAGTAAAAAAAGTACAGAATGTTAGTTATTAAGCAACATAATTTTATAAGCCTTACTGTATCATTGAAATATAAGTGGTGAAATATAACAAATGGAAGCGTAGGCTAAAAGCAAACCTTTCAAAAGGAAAACTTTGGGGTTTCTGTTTCAGTTTTCCTTTTGAAGGAGAGCTCTGAACAGAAATGAGTGTAACACTTACCTAACAGAGAGTGTGTCTGCTCCCAGGGATGCTCCAGATGCCTTTTATATTGCTTTGTAACTGTGCTGGGGGTCAGTAATTAGACAAATTAAACCCGACCGCTGATGACAGCTTATGACAGCAAACTTTCCACAGGAGCTGGAGGAGGTCCTGGATGACTGGACTAGCACAACATCTGGAAAATACTCCCATTAAGAAAAACGATTACAGAAAAAACTAAATAGGGACTTACTAGTCAAAACACATTTTGATTACCGAGTGAAGTGAACAAATTGTCCTGAATTCAGCTGGAAGGACTCAGAGGGTATTGCAGAGCAATAAAAAATTATCCCAGGCCAGTGCTGAGGGTTTTTTCTTTCCTGTCACACAGAGCTTAGGTGACAGTAGCCTGAAATTGTGCAGCTTTATCTGCTACTGATGGTGTATCTTCTCCAAAAAGCTGTGGGAGCTAATTCATACAGACAGAAGTAATTCACCAATCCTACACTGAATATGTAGTGCTTTTCCCTGAACTGAATGGAAATGTTGCCAAGGTGTTGGCTAGAAATCAAAGAATTTAGTCAAATCTCACATTTATTGAATGTGTGACACGTAACACATCAAAAATGAATGAAAGAGCCTTAAATTGTTTCAATGGTCTTTGTGTTTATTGGTTCCAGATCAAGGATACTGGAAGTGGTTCTTTGTAACTCCCAGAGCTAAAGGAGGTTTTAATTGAAAGCTTTAATGGTCCTGACTCTCAGGGCTTGGGAGAGAAACTGTATGAGAAACTGCACTAAAGGCCTGAGAACTTCCATATTTCTGTCTTATAATATTACTTGAATCCCAAATAGTTCTGTTAGCCCCAAAATAATAGATATGGCATAATATCTATTATCTATCCTATCCCAGCTGAGGAAAGGAGTTAAAATGAGCATGGGTCTCTTAAGGAAAGTAAAGAAGACACTTCTGAAGAGGAGTGGGTTTAGGCATGTGCTTGAATGTGTCCCTCACTCGGTCCAATGACTGTGCAGCTTTAGGGTTTTTATGCTAGATTTTCTTTCTAATTTTGTGTTGTCACAATAGAGACAGTTTCATTCAGCCTTTCTGCATTGTGTGCTTAGTGGAGTACTTATTGCTCTACTTTGTGGAAAAGGAAAGGCTCTGAGATTTCATGGAGTTTGTTCAAGGCAATATATAAATAAATGTATATTACATGTTTTATAATAAGAGTTGCAGTGCTGTCTTTAGAGGAGCTGACTGTAAGCTTGATAAAGAACCCCAGGTTTGAGAAGAAAGGTACCTGTCTGTAGATATTTAAAGCCTGGAGAAGTAGTACTGTTTAGAGGAGATAAATAGGATCAATCTGATGAGATAGCTTTCCTAGAAAAGTACTAAAGTGCTTATTATTTAATTAATTTGTAATCTGATAAAGCAAATCATTTATGACTACCTTACTGAGTATATCCTTGCTTTGATATCCATGATAGGGAGGAGACTTGTTGTCTCTTCCATCATTCCAGAGCTGGTGCTACTGTGAGCCCCAGTTAATACTGACTGGCTACCTGGGGTGAAAATATCTGTATAAATTAGTAAATAAAAAGTGACAGAAGATCAAAAGTATTCTGTTAACATGCCAGGACCCAAGTCATCCAAGGACAATTAGGTCCAGACACAACTTGACATATGGGTAGTCGTGACTGGCTGCTTCATTTACTGTGTTATGGATACGTTCATTTTGGTGGGGTGGTATTGGCTCATTCCTCTTGTGAATTAAGTTTTTGGGCTGTTGGAGGTGACACGGGGTTGCAAATTTTGAGTGACAGTAATTCCATAAGTGGATCAGTGGGAAGTGAGCAGCACTTCAGACACGTTTAAACTGTAGTGTCACAGCGGCACTGAGGTGGTGCCTTTGCGGGCACTGCACAGAGTGTGGTCAGACACAGCCAGGTGGGGCTGGATCCTGACCAGATCCTGCTGCTCTCCCCTTTGTTTTCAGGCATAGACTTTGAAATCCTGTTTTAAATTCTTCTTATGGATTCTGGGAGGTGGCAAGAAATACTCTCAGGGCACTGGTGCTGGGCAGTGTGCTCACTGCTGTTGTGCCAAGGTTAGTGTGCCAGGGAGAAGGGACTTGAGAGGAATGGTGGAGCAGGGGCAGGTGGGGACACACCCCAACCATTTGTGGGTTGAACTCCATCTGAAACAGAGCTATGAAATAGGGAAAGCAAAAAAATGTCCCATTGCCTTATTTTGATTTCAGCTGCCTTTAGGGAAACAGGACTCATTATGTTCCTGATGAGTAAATAAGGATGCATGGCTTCACCAGCATTTTAATTTGTCTTGAAGTAGCACAAGGGACCTAAGATTGTGGTTAGTCACTCCAACCAGAAAGAGAGAACCCTATTTTTCATCTGATTTCATTGCTTCAGCTATCTTACCTGTATTTCCCAACTTCAGTAGTTGATTGCATTTTTCAAAAGAAAAGGGTAGAAAAGAAGCCTTTCCTTACGACCTCTGCTCTGTTTATGTCCTGAGATCATCCCAGTTACAGTCCTATTGCTGTTATTTTTGATTTCTGGACTAACATTCCTTAAATTGAGGCCCATGACTTGGCTGTGCCTTTTCAGGCCTGGGCTTTTTCCAAAGCACATTGGTCAGTCCCATTTATGATGGTGGGTTTGGGGGGTGTTCATGTGCACTGGGATCACATGGAAAATGTGTGCCATTGAAATCCCAGAAAACAGTTGTAGGGATAATGTGGGTCTGGTCTGACAGAGGCCCTATTGCTTTTTCAGTCCCATCATTGATCTCCACTGTGAACCCATCAGTATCCTCAAAATATCCCTTAATTTTCCTGTGAAAACTAAGTTACCTTGGAGTGCTCTGAATGCCTGTTAGGGCTCAGTTGGCTGTGAGATCTGCTGGGGCATACAGAGTGATACAGAGAAACTGAGCTGAGGAAAGGGAAGAGGTAGCTGGAGTAGTGTTGGCCTGTTAAACATTCACTGAGTAATGAACCTTTATTTCATCTTTAACTTTGCAGGAATCACAGCAGGGATGTAACTGCAAGTTAAATGAGAGTGCTGGAAGCGTCATTTAATGAGTTACTGAGAAAAACTATCAAGAATCACGGATAATTTTTGGTCTTGCAGGAAGGACTGACACAGTTTCAGGGTTATGGTCTTTAAGGGGCAAGAGAAGAGAATGATGCAGAGGAGGTAGAAACCCTAATGTGGGAAGGGCATGGGATGGCAATAGGTTTTTCTGGGACAGCTGCTAATTGATCTAAGATGCTTCCTTCTGTTGCCTTCCACAGTTGGTCATTTTTTACATGCACAACTGGCTGCATTGTAGTGCCATATTTTATTTAATTGTAACAAAAAAAAGTAAATTTTGAAGAGCACTTAAGTATAGCGACTTTTCAGACCAAGGAATATTAACACCATTGCTTTTCTTTGATTTATGAGTAGAAGTAGCATTGCAATGAGTTCTGTGGTAGCAAGCTGCTGTAATAAGGGTCAGATGCTCACAGGCATCATCCAGTTGATGTAAATATAGATTTATTGTATTTACAATCCCTAAAAAGCTCAGAGAGTTGTATAATAGCAAGAAGTAGAGAGAAAAATCAGACTCAGGAAATACATTTGTCCTCTCAGAGATACCAGGTGAGCCCATCACAATGAGTGGAAGATGAAGGATAGAATCTGCATGTTTGGGATATTTTTATAGTACTACCAAAATCAGGAGAACTGTTTTTATTCCAGAAGAGCCTTTCAGTTCAGTCCAGCTGCAGATATTACTGAGGATCTTGAAGAGCAGGAGGATGTATGGAACTGGACTTGTCTGGAGCCTTGGCCCTGCCACCATCACTTTATTGCTGTCATAATATTTCTCAGTGGGCCCTAATGAGTTCCTCTAAGAGAATTTTAAAGGTTTGCATCCCAAAGCTAGAGCATGGATTTATCTGAGCTAGACTGGAGTCTCATTTTATATGGAATCTGTGCTCTGATTCATACAACAGGGCAGATTTTAGTGACAGAAAGTTACAGGGGAAAATCTTTTGGAGGATGTCTGGCAGAACAAGACCTTACTAAACAGGAAATATTCAACTTCTCTTTCTTTCCCACTGTAGGAATTATTCCTCTCCTAGTTTGGGCCTGGAAAATGGGTTTTGCTCTGGATCCAGATAGTCTGACAAAAAGTGACTACTGTTTCTTAAAAATGTCTCACTAAATGAAGTACATTCCACATTGTTTGTTCTTTTTTTCTCATATAGTGTATGGGCTCATTCTGCTGAATCATAGCTGGAAAAAAATGAAATTTAACTATAGGAAGAAAAAATCATACAAGATTTGATTAATGTGGAGGATGGCAGAGAATAAGAAAAATAGAGAAAATGAACATGAGAAAGGTAAGAGCATGAAATTTTATGTCTCTTTATAACGTAAGAAACGATGAGTTAAACAAGAATTCTCAGTTAAACAGTAGTAGCTGAATTAGCACAGGCTAATTTGTGAATTTGTGAATAAAAGATGCAGCAAATTCTTTCAGATTAGTTACTTCATTACCCCTTGGGGACAGTTAGAGACTCCCAGAAAGAGTCACCACTTTTTATATGGCTGACAAATAACACCCTCAGTTTGGCAAAATAGCAGTGAAAAGGTGTCAGACAGAGTTTTTTTCTGACTTGGTATGAAGTAATTTTCTTGTAACATGAAGAATCATCTTTCTTAGACATCACACTCAGGCTACTATAAATAATCCTTTTAGCACATTTTCAAGCTTTCATTTCGTACATATTTAAGGAAAAACTGTCTGTTTAAATGTGTATATTCAAGGGGGAAAACCTTTCTGGGTCAGTGTAATTGTACATCATGTACATCAACTAGATTTTAATGTGCAGTGCTCTGAGAAGATTATTTTTTTTTCTTTATTGGAACTTTGCTGCTGTTGCTTGACTTCAGAGTGAGAACTGAACAGTAACTTCTGATGTGAATTCAACAGGAAGGTCTCAGAGGTTAAATAATAAGTTAATGTACAAAAAAACTCTTGGCAGTATTGAATACAGTATATTAATGGCAGTGGAGAAAGCTTTGGGTAAAGCTGCCAGAGGCTTGTGGAAGCTGCTTTTTTCTTATTGCAAACACCTAGGTTTGATCATTCATGAGTTTACAGAAGTCTGAAATGTTCAGTACTTCTGCCTATTAGGATTCTGTTGTTTAAAAGACACCTACAGTGAACAAGGGTTGCCTGGGTGTTTGGCAGAGTGAATTGTCTCAGCATGATAAATCCCCTTTCCTTTGGCAAAGCTAAAGGTATTTAAGACATGGAAAAATTCTCATTTCCCCTTCAGCTTCAGTGACCTTTGAAATAGTTGTATTCTCTTTTAAGTGCTTTCAACGTGAACCCTGCCTCTGAGAAATCAGTTTTCTTCTCGATCCTCCCACAAGAGTTGCACAAGCACAGGGTGACTGCCCAGCTCAAAGCAGGGCACTGAGGCTCAGCAGCCTGTTTGCACTTTGAATATAGCAGGAATTTTCTGCCACCAAATAAAATGAGGGCAGGAATGTCAGTTATTCAGCAAGGCTGTGGTCCATCAGACACTGTGCAGTGCTGATCTGAAGCAGGAGTGATCTGCAGCAAAGGCAGGATCCTTGAGCTGATCTGCTGAGGCAATAATGAGGCAAAAAGAAATTAAAAACCCCAATTTAAGTTGTTTACCATCCAAATACGTTTCTGCTATATCAGGAAATACTGGCCTCTGTTTGTTTATAATTAAGTCTGAGGTTAGAACTGAGCAGTAGATTTTAGAAATCTCAAACTGAATGTCCACTTAATTAGCTGTTTCTCAGGGGCACAGGTAGCAGGGAGCATGGATGGAAGGAGCTCCCTTCTGGTAGGAAGTGAAGTTCTTTACCTCTTCTAAAAATTCTCCTTCACAGCATGGACTGCCATCATTAACAGCTATCCGGATTTGGGATCTCAGTTAGTCCCCATATCCCTCCTTGAGGCTGGGGTCAAGGTCAAGCTTTGGAAAGATGAGTCTTCAAGAGCTCTTGACATTTTAAAAGTCCCAAGAGTTAAAAGGGGGCTGGCAGCTTTTCTGTTTAAATGATTCATCCCCCTTCTAGACTTCAAATTAGGTTTATGACTTGAATGAAAGTTAGATTATAGGACTAGTAATTCAACTTTGTGGTGTCCAGTTTTAGGGAGGGATCTGGCAGGGCCCCTTTAGGGATTGATCAATATACTGATTTCCTAAGCATTTATTTGGGCTCAAAGTTAGGGCTTCTCATGTTGAAGCTCAGGTATTAAGAGGTTAAAAGGAGGGCTGAGGACTGATGAAGATCTTATATTCTGTGTTATTGGAGAAATTCATATCCAAAGGAAAACTCAGGGGTCCACTCTATTAAGATTTATGGCTACATTCACTATACGCTTACTAATGGCACTTCAGTGTATTTTGTTAATGTTCAGTTTATGTTTCAATCTAAATTTTCAGATATTTGTGTGTTTCTGTTGCTTCCCATGTCCCTCACTCACTGCAGAGACTGGCTTTGTTCTTGTAATTGAGGTTTGCCTGAGGATGTGAGCTGGAGGTAGTATTTAGGCATCTACAGCTTTAAGAACCAGAAAATGTGGGCAGACATGACCCAAAGCCACATATTTTACTTTTATAGAAGGATTAACCTCTGGCTATAAAGAAGATTGGATTTAGGTTTCAAGGTTTTAACAATTCAGCACATCAATATATATGTTATCTGGGGACTTCAGAGGCAGGGTTAGAGTTAGGAAAAAGCTAATCTGGTACTTAAACTCAGGGTTAGAGGCTATAAATTAAGATTATGAAATTTGGAGCCCTCTCTGGTGCAGGCTCTGGGGTGAAGTTTGCAGATTTTCCACTGCTGACACATCTGTCCCTCAGTTTTAGCTGGGGATTGCCTTCGTGTTTGGAGTCTGCAGTCCCAGGACTCTGGTTTTCTGGTGTGCTTTACAGAGCTATAATTTACACTGATGTCAATCTTTGGCTGTAAATATGTAAAGTTTAAATATGTAATAGTATTTTTTAGTGCACAGATGGGTATGTTACAGTCTGGTTTAATGGTTAGGAAATCACAGTGTCAGAGACCATTTTATTGATTGCTGTTATTGGTATTACTTATCCTTCCCAGGGCTTAGACTAAACCCATCACAAAGTGTAGCCTTAACAAGAGCCAGCAAATCCCTGTAATGTTCCCAGAAAAAGAAAGCAGAAGCATCTTTCCATCCCAACTCCCTCACCCCCCATGCAAGATATGAACTTGCTGCATGTCTAGGCAGTGGAAGGGCTCCCAGTTGCTGTGCTCTGGGACATGATTAATCTCCAGTTAGCAACAGGAAGAGCCCTGTTTCTCTTCCCCAAGGCCCAGCATGGAGGTGTAGGTACATCTGACAGGTCCGTGCACCTCAGTGGGCATCACTGTGAAAGGATGAGGGACAGGGCACCAAAGTCTGGCAACAGATTCCTGTGTTTTCTGTAACCTCCATCTGAGGATGAATCAGCAGCTCACTGTCACCAAACATGGCCTGCTCTGGTTCTGGCACAGTGTTCTCTTTAACTCAGCTTTTTGAAGGACTCTGAGGTGTTATGAGGACTGCAAGTAGAAAAAAATCTCTCCAGTGTGTAGAGAATCAAAGATTTTACATCACTCCCTGGTGGGTTGACAGGTTCATAGATAATACCTGCCTGCAATAAAAGCCTAGTTACAAAAAATTGCTTATTTGCCTTGACTGGACTGTGAGGATTCCCTTTGTATCACAGACTGGAAAGAATCTCTTCTCTTTTTTCCCCAGAAGAGTTAGAACAGGCTTTGGAAGTTGGATTCTGGAGCGAGGAAGGAGGTGCATTTGCAAGGGGGATTCCAGGAGAGGTGTGTAAGGGAAGTAGCAGGTCACCCTTAGAAGCTTCTGTTCTTCCACAGACAGTCTCATTCATGGCTTTTCTGCCCCTGACAGAGTATTCTTTTGCAGGGTCTCCTGTGCTGGGCACTCCTAAGTTGGCAGCCAGTATCTTCTTTTCATATGTGGCTGTGTCAGCTGATGTTCCTGAGTACATCAGGTTTTTCAATTACAATTGTTTCATAATTTGCATCATCACCAGGTCTGTTAGGTGCTTTTCAGAACAAACAAGAAGAAGTCCTCACCCTGTGGATGTAACAGTCTAATTTTTCACACATCATCGCCAGAGACGTGTCTGGAGGATGGGACTTTTTATGGGCAGCCTTCTTTTATTCTCTTCAGAATGAGTCATATGTTTTTGTGAGCAAAGCAGGGGGGTTGAAGATGAAAATCACAAATAATGCACCACCCTTAAGACAATTCTACTCCAGAAGGATTGGGCTCAGGGAATTGTCAACATCCGTTGCTCAAAGTCAGTTTTCAGAAAATAAGAGAAAATCCTAGGGATGCTGGTAAAAAATATGGGTTGACATCAAAATACTTTTACAAGAAAACACCATTTCTCCCGTGTTTATGGGTGCTGGGCCTGAGAAACAAATTTAATACAGGCTCAGTCAGACTGGAAAGAAAAGAATTTGCATAATCATAATAATATATAATCACTGTGCTGCTTAAAAGACATCCTGTCATTAACAAAGTGGCATATTGTGAATTGTTTCCTGTTCTGCTGAGGAGGGAAAACCTTGAGCATGGAGTGAGTGTAGGTGACAAGGGACGTTACAGCCCCTGCTCTGCCTGTGCTCCAGTGAGTGAATCAAACCAATTATTGCAGCTGTCAAATCCAGGACATGAGGCATGAGCAGGATGGACAGACATTTTATGGGAAAGCTCAGTGTAACAGATGCCAAACCCAGCTCCTGTGGGAGCTCAGGGACGACATCATGAAGTGAAATAACAGTGAGAACTCTCAGATGAATGTGGGGACCTCATGAGGACAATCAGCCCAGAGAAAGATGCTACAGTGGTCATTTCTTGGTGACCTGATCATCAGTTCTTGGTAGTTCTGAACCCACTGAAAGGAAAATGAGTTGGAAAGGGAAGCTTGCTTAGCCTTTCATGCCAAACTCAATGGAAATTCAGATCTCTTGATGTTTTAATTCATACTTTTCCTTTATTCTTTTATTCAGAAGAAGAATGGCCCTGCTATGCCACAAGTAGGCACAGCAAGTATCTAAGAACATAGCATATATTTCAATTAAGGGTAGGCTACAAACTCACAAGTCTTTTTAGGAGAACAGCAACTCCTTCTGAATGTTTATCTTAACTTTTACATTAAAATAATTTCATGTAAGTGTGATATGAACTCCACACCTTCAAAATGAACTTCAGAATCCTTGGAGTTGACATCCACTAACAGGAAGAATTATTAGGAAAGGGGTAAGGATGGAGAAGCTGAAGCAATGGGACTGCAGA